TAAATTGTTTTTAAATCTTTAATCCAAAAATAAAAGCAAAAAAATGTCTATTATTATGTAGAGGATAGAGTATCCAAACTTGTTATGTATATATATTATAAAAATTGTTAAAATTTTCAATAAATTACTAATAAATATCTAATGGGCTTTTAAAATACTTTAAAAAACCTTAAAAAATGTCTAATAAATCTTCAATAAATATTAACAAATACTCAATGAACCTTTTAAAATCTTCAATAAATACTCAATAATTTTTTTAAAATCTAAACTCAATTATATTTTTTTCAATAATAATATTTCCTTTCAATGTAAATCTACTTCTATGTGACTTTAATTACTTCACTTATATTTCAATATGAACTCAATTATATTTTTAGTAATAATATTTTTATATGCATTTTTAGTAGTATATTTTTAAAGGTGGTGCTATAGGGATAATTTTTTTATCTCACATTTTTATACAATTTTCATATGTTATTAAATGAATGGATGCATTTAATATCACGGGTCTCATATGAATTAAAAGAATTAATCATTTTAATGACACATCAAGTTGTACAAAAAAATAGAACAAAATAGTTGTCCCAATAGCATTTCCCTATTTTTAATGGTAGAAAAAGGTATAGCCCAATAGAAATTTTAATTATCTTACTATATTAATATAAAAATTGTTAAAATTTTCAACAAATATTGAATAATTACTCAATTAGCCTTTTAAAAATTTTAATAAATACTAAATAAATATCAAATGGATTTTCTAAAATCTTAAATAAATACCAAATAAATACCCAATGATTTTTTAAAATCCAAACTCAATTATATTATATCTCACTATATTAATGAAAATTGTTAAAATCTTCAATAAATTCTGAATAAATATTCAATGGATCTTTTAAAATCTTTAATAAATCCTATTAAAATACCTATAAAATTCTAAACAATACCCAATGGACCTTTTAAAGAAAACTTATTGTGAAGATTAATTCCCCGTTTAGTTTAATTATGTTCAGTTTCTTACTAAATTTCTATATAAAAAAAGACTTCTAATAATTAAGTTATTATATATACTCAGTAACTCTAGTCATATAATAATTTGAATTCATGATCCAACTTTAATTATATTTCAATTAGTATATATTTCATTTTAGTCAAACTTTAACAGAAATACATTCAACAATAACATTAAAAAGACAAAATTTAAAGAAATTAGAAAAATACACTTTACTAATGAAGAAGAAAAATAAAAAAAAATCAAAAAATGAAAACACAAAGAAAAATGAAAAAATATCCATATTTTTATTCTAACTAATGTTTAAAAACTGAAAAATCCACTTTACATATTTTACTTATTTAAAAATAAAAGAACAATAGATTTAATAAGGATAATTTTTTTAAAAGAAAGAAAATAAATTAGAATAAAATATAATAATTAAGATTAGTATGAAAATTAGAGATGTAAAGAATGACAAAAAAAGAACAATATAACATAAAATAAATTACTAATATAGAGTAGA